AAGGGCTTAAGGCTGGGAGAGGTCTCAAAGCTCAAAGTCTTAAGGCAAGAGGGGGAGAACGTGGGTGAGAGAATGCAGTGAGTAGAGAGAAAGACCAAACCAAAGGGATGGGTGAGAAGGGGGTATAAGTAAGCTTGGGTGGTGGCCGCATGCAATTGCCACTTGGCATCTAAGAGAGCATGCATGAGATGAGAGAGAAGGGCAAGCATGAAAGACATCATCATGGGATGGAAGCATGCAATTGACAAGTATCATGCAAGAGGAGAGAGAAGAAGCAAATATGGGAGACATAACGATTGTGGGTGCAGCATGCATGTGCCATATGGCACATATGCATGGGGAGAGAGAGAGAGAGAACATGAGAGGGAAGGAACTCCTTTAACTACCGTACACCACCTGCGCCTAACGGCGCGCTCATCGGCCCGCGTCCTTGATGCGCATCCAACCACCCGCTCTCACTAGCACGTTCATCCATCCATGCTCAACAGCGCCATGTCCACCTGCACACGATCTCGTGCACTCGCCCATCCTCGCAAATCAGTGCACACATATGCCCGCGCTCAACCGCACGCTTGCTGCGCTCAACGACGCATTTAACCAATCGTGCTCTCTATCGTGCACTCAACCGCCCGCGCTCAACAGTGCATCAGTTCATTCGCGCTCAATTGCGCGCTTGCTGCGCTCAACGACGCATTTAACCAATCGTGCTCTCTATCGCTCGCTCAACCGCCCGTGCTCAACAGCGCGTTAGTTCACCCGCGCTCAACAGCGCGTCAGTTCACCAGCGTCTAACTGCACGTTCGATCATCCGCTCCCAAATGCACACTCACCTCCTCCCGCGCTCTTCGCAGACTCGTCTACCCGCGCGTGCGCTCTAATTGCATCGCACCGACGTGCATTCGCCTGCCTGTGCCTAGCCGCACACTCTACCAATACTTCGGGAAATTTCGGGCCATTACAAAAAAATTATTGGGATTAATTGAAAATCTATTTTTATATCTAATTAGAAAATTTTAAACTTCAAAATTGGTTAAAATCAAGTAGATCTATAAACACATGAAAATCTTGAAAGTGGATGGTCTAGATAATGTGTTGCAAGATGCACTATTTATGGGACTCAAAATATTTTGTTTTTATCATTCGCAAAATCGCCCGATCTAACCACTAACCTCCCAGTTAGGGTGATCAATCGGTATTTAAAAAAAAAATCAAAAAAATGTAAATAAATTCTAAAAAGTAAGGAATTTGATTTGTAATGCATTTTTAAAATATTCTTTACATTGTAATAAAGATTAAAAAAAAATTGGTCATTAATACTCACATTTATATTTTCTCATCTTTTTAGAAAATTTTAAAAATAGCCCTTGGAAAATATAAAATGGGTTAAAATTCAGTTTTGTCATTAATTTTCAACTTCATTTGAATATGTTTTGTTTTAATCATTCTTTATATACTTTGCATATTTTAGTAGATTTTTTTTTTTTTTTGTTTTTATATGTTTCCAACACTTTTCTGACCGTCAGAGACTTGCCTGGTTAGAGTAATTGAATCGGTTGGTTTACCGATTAGGCCAGTTAAACCGTTTCTAGGCCCATGTCCGGTTAACCGTTCCAGTTCGATTTTGCGAACATTAGTTTTTTATATACATTCATACATCTCGATGTCAAGATGATCAATTAGACGATTTTTCAACACTAAAACAAAACTTTTCCAATGAATTTTTGAGGTGCATCTGTATTTCTACAGTTGAAGGTTGCAACCATATATAAACTTTTTTTCATTACTTATATATAATAATATATAATTAATTATAATCATGATGTATATAATTACTATAATTATTACATGTAACTAATGTTAATTATATACTATAATATATAAATAATTATAGTTATAATATTTAACAATATGTTACCATAACTATATAAAATTATTACATATCTAGGTTTGAAATCCCTCTTTTAGGCTGTCCTCAGATCTTAGCCAACAGTATAAAATATAACTTACCACAAGTTTTTGAGGCTCGTGGTTCTCTTTCAATCTCCCAAAAATGTTAATTCCACCTATTTTCATAGAATTTATATTTCCATAAAAAAAGCTTAAAAGGTCCAAATAAATCTTCAAGCAAAAAAGAAAGATTCCTGCGGTGGGAGGACATCCAAATAGCATTTACGGTTTTGACATAAATTCCAATAACTTTTAAAGGCCCATTTGGATAGCAGGAAATTAGGAATATTCAATATTTGCAATCCAACCAAATCTATGGATTTTCAATATCAAGGATTTTTGTCATGGATTCCTCAAATCTCGTGTTTGGATAAACTATATAAAATTAATGGATTCCTTTCAATCACTTCCATGTCCATTGTTTAGTAACAAAACTTGATGCATTTTTCTCTCTCAAAATTTTAACATAATTTCTCTCTAAAACTCAAAATTTGAGATAGTGTGTCTATAAAATGTTTGAGATAGTTTCTCTCTCTAAAATTTGATATGGGTTCCCTCTCTAAAATTTAATATACTTTCTATCCAAAACATTAAATTTGAAATTGTTTGTTTAAAAATGTTGAGATAGTTTCTCTTTCTAAATGTTTTTGGTACTTTCTCTTTTTAAAATTTAATATAGTTTTTTTTTCTAAAATTTTAAGACTCTCTCTCTAAAACTTAAAACTTGAGATGGTTCCCCTCTTCAATAATTTTGAGATAGTTTCTCTCTCTAAACATTTTTAGGTATTTTCTCTAGCTAAAATATGATAGTTTTTCTCTCAAATTTTAAGATATTTTTTCTCTCTAAAAGATAAAATTTGAGATAATTTATCTCTAAAAATTTTGCGATAGTTTCTCATTCTAAAAAGTTTTATGTACTTTCTCTCTCTAAAATTTGATATAGTTACTCTCTTAAATTTTAATATGCTTTCTCTCTCTAAAACTTCAAGTTTGAAAATATTTATCTCTCTTAAATTTTGAGTGTCTCTCTAAAATTTGATATAGTTTCTCTCTCTAAAGTTTAAAATTTGAGACATTTTCTCCCTCTAAAACTTAAATTTTGAGAGTTTCTCTTTCTAAATTTTTTTGAGATTGTTTCTCTCTCTAAAAATTTGATTTACTTCTCTACCTAAAATTTGATAGGGTTTATCTCTCTAAAATTTTAAGATACTTTCTCTCTAAAACATAGATTTTACGATAGTTTCTCTCTCCAAAATTTGTAGGTAGTTTCTCTCTCTAAAATTCGATATAATTTCTATCTCTAAAATTTGAATATATTTTTTGTCTCTAAAACTCAAAATTCGATATAGTTTCTCTCTAAAACTCGAAATTCGAGATAGTTTCTCTCTCTCAAAAACTTGAGATATTTTCCAATCTAAATTTTTTTTTAGCAGTTTATTTTTCTAAAATTTATAATAATTTCTCTCTAAAATTTTAAGAATACTTTCCCGGTAAAATTTTAAGAATACTTTCTCTCTACAATTTTAAGAATATTTTCTCTCTCTAAGACTTTTTAGGTACTCTCTCTAAAATTTGACATAGTTTTGTCCGTCCATGGCTTATAAAAGGGTTCACCCCTCTCTCTAACATTTAAAATTTGAAATTGTCTCTCTAAAAAATTTGAAATAGTTTCTCTACATAAAAGTTTGAGATAGTTTCTCTCTTAAACTTAAAATTTGAGATAGTTTCCCTTTCTAAAATTTTGCGATAGTTTATCTCTCTAAAAAAGTTTGGTACTTTCTCTCTCTAAAATTTTAACATACTTTTTCTCTCTAAAAGTTAAAATTTGAGATAGTTTCTCTCTCTAAATATTTTGAAATAGTTTCTTTGTTTAAAAAAAATTAGGTACTTTCTCTCCCTAAAAGTTTCATACCTACCAATGTTCCCTATGTTTTGGGTTGAGGGAGCCCATGAGTGAAATCCACAGACCTTGAAAATTCAAAAAAACAGGTTTGGTGTGGAAATGAAATCATGGAAAAGTAGGCCTTATTTTCATAATTTTGATTTTCTTGATTTTAAGTATTCTAATCATTAAACAATCCAAACGTTAGATTTTGGCAATATCCAATATATTAGAGATCCATGCCTTAAAATCCATGTACCCAAACATACCCTAAATCAATTCATTTGAAAATTTAGCCCAAGTAACTATGAAATAAAATGTTTCTATAATTCCCCTGCAGCTTCCCCTACCATACAGCTGTCAAATTTTGACCAAGAGAGCTACTCAATTTGATCTTAGATTCGACGTCTCAAAGTATTTTATTTTTAGTTTTTTTTATACAAAATTGTATGAACATGAAATTTGGCATGGGTCATCTTCTCATTGGGGTGTACCTATAAAAAATATTAAAAATATTTTTTCGATCAAATATAATGACCAAAATACCCCTTGAATCTTTCAAAGGTATTTTGATCATTTTATTTTATTAGAAATACTTTTTTTATATTTTTCGCTAGTGCGAGCTTAATAGAGGATTGGACGTCCAAAATTTGGTATCAAAATAGTTTATAAAAAAAATTAAAAATAAAATATTGTAGAGACGTAACATTGTGATTGGGGCAATCTTAGTCCTCCATTCAGAATAGACGGTTGGATAAAGGGAATTATACAATGTTTATGCTATAGGGGAAACATAAAAAGCTTGCCCTAATCATAGCAAGAGAAAATATAAAGACAAAGTTAAATAAAATCTCCCCAAGTAACTATGAAATGAAGATAGAGAGGCAAAATATAATAGACAAATGCCTTGATGGCATCTTCTTTCCCTCTAAAATCCCACTTCACACGTGCAATGATGCGACAAATAGACCTTCCCTTTCTCACACGTGCAATGACAACGACAAAGCGGCGGACGCTCCAATCCCTCCGCGTCCACCTCCAAAACCTCACGCTGCCCCCACCGACAACACGTGTATGGTGGAAAACCCACGACACAGGAGGATGCTGACCTGGCTGCTTGACCGCCACGTTGCAGAAATCTAATGCATGAATTGCTCACAATAAAATGCCTTCCTCTCCTCCTCCACAGAGGGGTTGCTGTAGCCGTGGCCGGAGCCGATCCTTTCCTTCTCTTTTGGTGGCAATTCAATTCATCGCCCATTTTTTGTCGATTAATTGATTGCCACGTTCTTCCATTTTGCATTTGTAGTGTTGGAAATAATAAAAATCGAATCGAATCATCCTTATGTGTTTGAGCGATTAATCGGCGAGTTAAATGGAGAATCTCTGGCAAAGAATGGTGGGGCCAATGAGAAGGTTATGGATGGGCATAGCGACTCGACTCGGCATTAGGAGAAACGGTGAGTCTTTCCTGTCCACTACATTCTTTTCTTTTCTTTTTTTGAATTCTTCCCCCACATTTTTTACTTTTTCTTCTCTTTTCCCTTTGAGTGAAGGAAGATGATGAGATGTTCAAGAATTCATTGGTGTTTTCTCCCTTGAGATAATTTTCAGTAAGAAATTCACAAGGGGAAAAATTTATGATTTATTGAAAGGAATGGCGGGTGAATCTGGCTTTTATTCTTTCTTTTTTTTCCCCAAAAATGTAACAAAAAAGTCAATAAATGAGGAAAAAAAAGTTGCAGGATAACTTGGCCTCTTTTCAAAACATTAGACCTCGCTTACCCAAAAATAAATAAAGGAATATTACCTTTTAAAGCAACTTTATGAGAAATGTATGTTTCTAGATCAAATTCCATGAAAACAAAAAGCAAAAAATAAAAAAAATTGAAAAGAAATATAATAGAAATAACGAAATGTGTTAAATCACAATTGTGAGGTCAACTATTTAATATTTATCCATCCAATAATTTCCAAACTTGATAACAAGGGTGATGGATTGTTTGAAATTTGATCGAGAGAGTGATGGGCCATTCAAAATTAGGAATGTGTTGTTAAATTGTTCAAAGTCTGCGGTATGATTTGATAAATTTATGACGTAGTAGTAATTACTGACAACAAATTAGAACAAGAGAAGTACCTGAAAAATTAAAATTATTATTAATGACAATTCAAATACGTTATCATCATCATTGTCTTTTTTCAATTAATTGGGATCGGCTACACGAGGGGTCGGCTACACGAATCCCGATCCGCCATTCAAATACATAATAATAATGATAATAAATGTGAAAGAGAGGAAGTTGTTACAAACACATGCATTAATTGGTTTGAGGAATTATAATCCAGGTCTTCTCAAGTTGCAGCACGAGGTGCACACGTGCGGGTACAAAGACGTGCAGGTCATGTGGGAGATGCTCCAAAAGACGACAATGGACAATCAACCACCGAAACAGAGGCAGCGACGCCCGCTATGGGGGCTCTTTGGATGGGCAAGGAGGGCAGCTTGCCCATGCCACCAATTCTAATGAATTGGAATTATAGCTATAAATATACCCCTATTTATATATATGTATATTTAAATTATTGTATTTTTTTCTCACACGAGCTAGTCTTTATAGAATAGAGGCTTTTTGAGCTTCTCATTGTCCTGATATAGTTTTATTAACATTTCGTGCATCACGAATATACACTTGTAATATGGAGTTTTTTTGTACTAAAAAGAGGTAAGTTTGTGGGAATTTGGGCCTCTATCTTTTGGCGAGAATAGAGTCCAAGACTTCATCATGGGATTCAGATATTCTTTTTTCACAAATTAAAGCTATACAGTTAGGTTGTTTGCGTGCAAAAAAATTGGTTTTTTTATGTCCATAACACTAGGTTATAGTGTAAAATTGATCATTTTTTTCATTTAATAATAGCATGTCATTATTGTTTTTTTGTTATTCAGTTAAGTTTGGCATATGTAACCTTATGATTAACATGGTGACCATATGGGGTTTAAGTGAATATGAATCGTGTACATCCTGATGGGGGATACCCAGGAAATCTTCAAGACCCTAGTTTGTTGCAGCTTTATCCAGAACATTCTTCCTATTTCATATGGGAAGGACATGTATATATATATATATATATATATTCTTCTGCTCTTTCCATTACTTTGTTATTTTTCAATAAATTGTAGTCTGTTTAAACATCATACGGGAAGTACATGTATATATATTGTGATTCATATGTTGTCTATTTGTTGTATTCCAGGAAAAAAGAGAAATTAGAATCGATGAAAAGAGTTTTCAATTAAACAAGTGGCATATAGCCGATGAGCAAGTTGGGCTAGTGAATGCATCTGGGTTGGGTGCTCTATCTATAATCCAGCAGATATGTTTGGGGTGCTGCAACCCTTTCATATCTTTATCGTTCCCTTGGAAAAACTTGTACTTTCAAGCGAAGATATTTTAGTGGTTTAGCCACTCTTATGTAAGTAAATTCTATTTTTGTATCGGACATAAGCTTAATAGTTTAGATTAGTTTCCAAAAAAAAAATCACTTATCATATGTTGATATAATGCAGTGCTGGTCTTATGAGCATATTATGTATATGAGGCCCATACCACATAGTATCTCTCCAAATATGCCTTATGCAATTAGATGGGAGCCACCAAAGAATTATTATGTCAATCCACATAACCTAATGCCTCCAATTAGATAAGAATTTGATAACCTCCAACCTAATGAGGTTAGTATGTACTTTAATATTACAAAATTTATTATTGACTAATTGTATTTGAGTATTTGTAGTTGTTTATTAACTGAATGTCGTATGTTTGATTTTATATCATATAACAGGTAATATGGAATCCATATTTCAAGCCTTATAAGGCCATTTCAGATGATAGGCGGCAGGCATTCGAAACCGCAATGTGCTTAACGACCCTGATATTTAACGATATTGCCGAGCCGTATATGTCATGTCGCGTGTGTCGGTAGTTTGGAGCTAAATAGGGCATTCCAAGAAATCCCATATATGTTGGTAAGAGATCTAGTAGACAACGTGGGCAGTGAGATTAAACAAATGTAAATTCTGACAAAATCCATCATCGGTTGACTCAACATGAACGCATGATACCAGTCATTGAAATGGATACTGTCAATGGGTTGCCCTCAGAGAAGTACAAGGTTTGGTAAAGCCGAGTGTCCGATCCTATAGTCCATAATGTCGCTAACCAACCAAAAGAGCGTTACACCGACTGTTGACAAACGATAGAGTGTAAGATTAAGTAACAATTTATGCACATAAAAGATTTAAATAAAACAAATTAGAGAGGTAAAAATAAATTATAGATGTACCTATTCCTTGGAGATGGGCCATCACCAACAAGTTCTGCCGTTTGAAATTCCATAGATCTTCGTTCCAGCTCTATTGCAGAGGCAACATATACAACAATACTCAAAGACTCCCCTCCAAAAGTAAAAGATACATCATTTACATCAATCAATTCAAGGCCACTAGATAGGCTTTTGTTGTGGTACATAATAACCAATTTGTTTGGAACATACGATGTTAGATTTGCAAAATGATTTTTTAGTTCATCCAATGAACTATTTTCATTATACTTCATAACCTTCAATTTTCCCCTTTTATAAACAACACGTCCGACCTCTGGATTCGTCTCAAATGACCCCCCACATCGAAATACCAGTTGCACTCCCTCGATAATCATCGTCAATGCTACTGTATTAAATGAATACCAAAATTCATGTTACAAAAATTCAATACAACAAGAAATACAAAAAATTTGCATATATCTAACTTATATAGGGTTCATAAAATGTTAGTTTTACATAATAAATTAAAATAGTGTACTACTAAAAAAGTCAATAAATTAATAAACAACAATTATTAATTCAAACACAAAATAAACAACAAATATTAATACAAACACAAAATAAACAACAAATATTAACATAAACAAACAAGTTGAACAATATTTACATTAAACATCAAATACAATATAGTGTACTACTATATATATCAACATAAAGTATTAATAAATAAATCGATTGTTTAATAAACTACCCAAAACAACAAATATTAATACGAACAACAAATATTTATGCAAATAAACAACTTCAACAATATTTACCAAAAAATATTTATTAATCAAGACTATGCAATAAATAGTAATACAAAAATATAATATTATATTAATTGTGACAAAATTCATCAACAGTATTAGGCAAGAGTAAGAAAGGTACCAATCAAGACCCGATAAAGAGCCACACTCTTCAACTTTGTGGGATACTATATTGTATTGGGGCACCAAAAAGTTCGTAGGACATTGTATTGGGGGGATACAAATTTTTAATAACCCTAAAAAATCAAGAAAAAGCCTCCTTTATGCTTGTATGTTTTGTGTATTCATAGGAAACTTATCGGTTTTTCAAAAATCAAAATGTTTAAATTTCCGATTGTTAAACAACAGAAATTCTAGCCATTTCAGTTGTTGAACAACTGAAATTCCACCCATTTTAGTTGTTGATTGAGCGAAAAAAGATAAAAACATTTTTTTTAAAAAATTTCGTTATGAAGTGAATAAAATATCTTATGACACCACCAATAGGATTTTAACAACACTAACGTTTCACATGGGTCAAGCCCATAAGGTGGTACCACATAAGTTATACTCACATGCTATAAAATCATAAGTGGATAATAATATGAATTAAATTAATTCTCAAAATCCCATGACTTCACTCATGCCAAAAATGACACTATGAGCTAAAAAAAAACATGTAACTTAATCATAATAATATATGACCGTTTAAATAACAAGATAACATGTTATAACATAATACCAACAAAAGAATTAATGACAAATAGGCCCCCACATGGATATGACATCAGCATGATGTCATCCACTAGTGGGGAAGTGGGGGTGCCACATGGCATCCTTATGGCCACTTGGGATCCATGTGGCATCCCCGTAGGATGTCTTTATTTGGTATATATGTTAAACAAATTTGAAAATCACATTTTTTATTGTTTAAAATATCTGAAAAATTCTCCAAAAATCTAAAAAATTATCTAAATGATTTATCAACATTATTACACAATTTCTCATAAATATAAAATCTTTTCTCATCAATTTTAGATTAATTTGAGCTAAAAGTAAATGAGATATCTAGACTTATAACACTAGTCGGAGTCTTCTATTGGGCTAACCCCAATGACGTGCCACTAGCGTCTCATGCCGACCCAAAGTCTATAGTAGAGACACATAATTGGTCATATCAAAGTCGCTGAGCCAGAGCTTCCCGTTACCGGGGGTTCAATGGATTACTGGTGCACCCATGTGGGACATGTTCCTACTCAAATCCAGTGGTCCTCTCAAAGCACATATGCACTAGCTCTTCTAAGTCGGATAATACTATAGAAGAGTGGCTTCCCCATACGACTGTGGGTGCATATACCATGGCACGGTCTCGTGTTAGGATACGGGCTCATGTCCCATGAGCCGACCATTCCATACAGGGCGTATAGTGTTTTAAATACTCGGGTTCTATTATTCTCGATTGGATTCTCTAAGCCCTGGCTTATCACATTAACTATAAAGTATTCTAATTATTATAATCCTGACTGGGAGGTGACCCTCACACATCTTTGAGAGTTTACACTCTCAAAACATATACTCTCAATGCCTCAAATACTCGGGGTATATGAATCTAAGCCCCAGTGCACCAAGCACCCAGATTCAGTCTCTATCTAACTCCCACTGAACGTAAGACTATTGGCTTTAAGGCTTTGAAAGGCCACATACCCAACAGGTATCGTTTGTCGCCTACTCCTTAGAAATCAGGCCTCAAGTGATTTTGGATTAAACAACTCATCTCTCTCAATCAGATTCTTTCACTATAGATTAAAAAATGGCAAAGCAAATAGCCTGTTCTCTAACCGACAACAGATATAGTCGCTTTGGTATCTCTCTCTCTCTCTCTCTCTCTCTCATAATAACACAAAATGGCATAGCCTCACTGCATGTGTGTCCTCTCTCAGTCCTTTTTCTCTCACTAAAAAGTGAGGTTTATATCGACATCATGAGTTCATAATCATGAAGACTCATGATGCATATCCATTTGTTAATCTTTCATCTTTATCTGGATAAATTTAGCTCGAGATGATAAATATATATATCTTTGTTTGAATTTGAATGCACTTGCAGATGGCCTTGTTGATAACTATATGCCTGATTAGTATTTATCCCATTCGATATTTGAATTTGAACACATGACTTCCCAATTTTTGAAAAGATACTGTGTGAGGGATTAGGTTATTCTTATCCATCATCGGTCAGTCAGTTACACACTATATAGACACATCTTTGTATTTCTGCTGCCGCCTTTTGATGATGTTTCCATTAACCATGAAATTGGATCAATGATAGGGAACTCAGATATTAACATAATGGTCCAAGCCCTATGTCAAATGGACTACATATGAGAGAGATATGATATGTTAAAGTTGACCATTCTCTGCTAGAAATTACAACAGTAAAATCAGAGGGTTGTGAATACATCCGCTTCCACCACAAGGGATTATAGACCATGATAATATTCTTGAGGGTACTACAACACAAATATCCACAAAATTTGGGCCCCAGACTCCCTACATATTAGGAGATACCATTCACCGTCGGTGAAGATTTTTGCATAGTGTTTGTGATGACTGTTACAAGGCTTGCCACTTTCTCTTAAGAGAATAATATGATGATGTACTTTAATGGGTGACAAGGCATTAAGTCAGAAGTCCAATGGTCCAGGAACCATGAGAAAAGTCCTCGTAGTTAGAGCTAAATCTTAATTTTGATCACCTGACTATTATCTGAAAGACATTTTATAAGGCTTTAACTGCCGATGAATACATACGATGGGTTAAGCCAACTCTGAATGAAGTGAAATCTCGGGGTGAGGGTTATAATGCCTCAAATATGAATTCTCGAAAGTTTTGAATCATTCCTAGACATCAAGTTTGAGGGCATTCGTCAAAGCATATATTGACCGCCAATGAATACGGATGATGGGCTAAGCCAACTTCAAATGATGTCTAACTTGTTTAATTCTTAGACTAGTGTCATATGAGGCCTCATGGAACATATATACAAGGATATATCTCTTACTGATATCAAATGTTGAGGTTTTCTTATGGTCAGTCTGTCAAACACTTCTTTAATGTATCACACCGCATCAAACTCCTCCGATATCATGTGGATGTACGTAAATTGGCCATGGGCATATATGTATCCTAGAGTTTGTCTCGAACTGAGATGACTTGATGTTCTCTTATAATCGATCATCATTCGGGATGCACGTATGTGACTGACAATGGATTAAAAAGTATATCGTTCTACAACAAACTTCCTCCAATACCATGTGGAGAGGCGTACATGGGTCTTAGGAGTATATGTATCCTAGAGTTTGTCTCGAATTGAGATGGTTTGGTATCTTCTATCATCAATTGTTAGTCAAGATGCACATACTTGACCGACGTTAGATTGGAAAGTATGTCATTCCGTGTCAGATTGCTCCAATTATCATGTGGATAGGCACATATGGGCCTTAGGAGTATATGAAACCTAGAATCTATCTAGAACTGAGATGTTTTGACAACTCCCTCTATTATTTGTCGTTAGCAAAGGCACTATGGGTTGACCGACGAATAAGAGTCTAAGGCATATTGTAGCCTTCATATGACGAATCCTAGACATATCATGTTCTTCATATCACATCAGGAGCATACCTCAACAAATGTCTTCAAGAATTGTACCAATTGAGCTTACATAATTTGTCCACTATCTGTTAAGACATCAATCCAGCGTTAGTTAAACACTTATCTTCTTATGCTCTCAATTCATTGGCCGCTTATCAGAGTGTATTCAATCTCATATGATAACTAAAGATACACCCAACAAAGACATTATCACAAGTCACGACCTATAACACAACTCAAGAGTAACAGTAATTCACAAGTCACAGTGTATCACCTAATCAACAAACCTAAAAACTACACAAGAAGAAAGTTTTAAGAAAACACATAAGAAAAAAATCGGAACATTAAATGA